TTGCTCAGCGCTGTGGCTCAAGATATCACTGACTTGCAAAACACCTTGTCTGCGCATGGAGTTTCCGCTGTGTATCCTACGGATGAAAACTTCACGACCGTCAGTCAAGCCTGTGAGTTTCTCTCGACTGAAGGGCACTGAATTCTCATTTGCTGATTGGCTTTTCCTTAGTTAATAGACGATTCACAATTTCCCCAATCGCTGTCGTCTTTCCTACCTCCGTCGCCCAAGTTTCAGCTGCCGTCGCTGCCGGTGCGGCCCAAAACCTTGAAGTCGTTGCGCGAAGCGGCGGGGTGCGTAGACGTACCTCTTCCTGTTTAGTCTTCTTATAACCATTCCCCTACAGCACTCGTACATTGCCAACGGCCTTGGTGGAAAGGATGGAGCTTTGGTGGTGGACATGAGCAAGCTCAAAGCGATTACTGTCCGGTCCTCCAACAATACGGCTTTGATCGAGACAGGCAACCGGCTCGGCGATGTGGCTCTGGCGTTGAATGCCAAGGGGCGAGCAATGCCTCATGGGACGTGCAGCTACGTGAGTCGAGCAGGTTCAAATTTGTGTTAGGGATATCAATCTCATCGCATTGTTCCACTAACCAGGTGGGAATCGGCGGACACAGTGGTATGCCTTCATTGGATCATCTGTCAATCATAAATTCAACGTGGCTCTAGGTTATGGCGGGTTCGGCCTACTATCTTAAAAACAGACGTGTCAACTATTCTAACTGGTTTTATTCTAGGTTCGGGTTCACCTCACGAATATGGGGCCTCGCTCTCGACGTTGTGAAGTCTGCAACTGTTGTTCTAGGAAACGGCACCATCGTCTCTGCTTCCGCGAACGTAAACCCGGACCTTTACTGGGTGCGTTTTTGAAACCCGCATATGCCTCAACTTCTCTCTCTGACTGAGTCCAAATACCTGCAGGCTATCCGCGGTGCCTCGCCGTCCTTCGGAATCGTCACTTCCATCGAAGTGCAAACCTTCCCTGCGCCGCCCTCCGCCATCGTCCTCGAGTACATCTGGAATGATCTAAACATTTCCACAGCTGCCAACAGTATCACGTCCTTCCAAAACTTCGCCGCCACGAACATCCCCGCCGAACTCGGCGCGGAGCTCCTCTTCACCAAGGGCTCCTCCAGTGGCAAAGTCAACTTGCAACTGAACGGTGCATGGTACGGCGCCCCCGAGCTATTCAACGCGACATTCGCGCCGTACCTGAACACACTACCGGCGACGAGCTCGGCGAATATATTTCCTGGCTCATACATTGATAGTGTCATGACGCTTGCGAGCCCGCAGGGGCTGAACACGAGCGCGGCGCCGGATGAATCTGACACCTTCTACACGAAGTCGCTTATGACCCCCAGCGCGGCCCCGATGTCCGCGGCCGCCATAGCGGCGTTCGCCACATACATGGCGACAGAGGGATTTTCGTCGACCACGGTAAGCCTAGCCCGACCATCGCTTTTCGGATTCGTATTTCTTATAATGATTACGTGCTTCATAGGAGTGGTTCGCGGAGGTGGAGCTGTATGGCGGGTCGGCTAGCGCGATCAACGCCGTCCCTCTCGATTCAACCGCGTTCGCAAAGCGCGACACCTTGTTTACAATTCAGTTTGTGTCTGCGAGCGCTGCACCGCCGTACCCGGCTGCTGGGTTTACCTTCCTTGATGGGATGGTTGCGAGTATCCTGAATAATGAGCCTGCCGATTGGAATTATGGGTGCGTCTCTTGTCGTGTGCTGGCGGAAGCCGAATTATTATCCTTTTTTTCGCCGGATTAGCACATATCTGAACTACATCGATGACAGGCTCCTAAACGGTATGTCTCGTTCTTCGTTTTTGATTTCTTCACCTTCGCTCAATTACTTACTCATACTCCATCAGCGGCGAAATTGTACTACGGAACACACTACCCGCGTCTCAAAGCTCTCAAGGCTGCACTGGACCCGAAGGATACGTTCCGGTTCCCTGTTGGTGTCACCGTCGCTTAAGGTGGGACAATATTCCTTCTTGTAGGTAGCGTAGCGGTTCAACTTGGCAGAGTTGTGGACCATAGAAATAATGATGTCCTTTTAAACTTCCATCCCGAACTAGATGCATGCGGGTCTTGGTATACTGCGATGCATTAGCCCGATCTATACAGTGTACCGCCAACTGAAGGGTGAGATACCTCACGCCAGTGGCTCCGCAAGTGCTCAGAAACCGAAAACGGCACCAATGTCCTTCCGCGAATGATTCAGTAAATCAGAATTCCAGTGCACGCCCAGGGAAGAGAGTGAGCGAGCGTACACGTAAAAGCGGCCATGCCGAAAAATGAGCCGACTTCCGACTCCCAAGCGGGCGGCTTGTATATTTTGCAGTCACCTTTGATTTCCTTAAAATAAGATATGAGCGAGACCAGGGTGGTTTAAAAAAACGAAAAAAAAAACGCTTATGTCGATTCTATGACCTGACCCGAGTCGAACGGGGTTTTCCGATGGTACTTCACAAATTGTATACAGGGCGAACACGGTCCTCCGGCATCGGGTCTCGATAAGGGTGGCTGGAAGGAATACGAGAGGAGAGATGGAAGGGTGCGCCCCACTAGAAAAGAGTGGTATTTATGTGTGCATCACTGAGGAAGATTGGGATACATAACTCGGAGTTTGGAGATGGCGAGGATTTTACCGTAAATACTTCACGCATGGGATCTTGGATACGGGTTAAGGCCATAGTGTCTCAGTAGTAGAGAGGATGCATCAGACAAGTAATTCTAGCGAGGGAGGAGAGTTGAAACGGTGGCTCACCAGAACAAGAACTTCGCACGCAGATATTTAGGCAGCGGATGTGTTCAGCAAATCCTCAAGCATTGAAGAAAGAGAGGCGAGGAGCAACATGAGAGAAAGTTGCGGCGGCGAAAGCAAGGATGGGAGGATCGTGATCCGAGGAATGCGAGAAGAAAGTATCGAACAAGGAGATAGAGGACTCCCAGACCGCCGCCCGAGATGTCTCTGGTCCGGAGTCAGGAGAATCTATTCCTCCCGACGGCATGACGTGTGATGGTGTCTACGTCCCCATGATCGACTTCACAGCGGTACCGGTTCCGTGAGTGATTTTGAATATGCTTTAAATTTTGGCGGGTTCCGCTCAGAAAGGGCCACCGTGTTCGCGGTCCAATGCATCAAAGGGCCAATCGAATCACAGGGGGGGGGTTATAACAGGTGCGTGGCTGGAGCGCGTCAATTAAATCCTGATACCGACCTGTGGGCGATAATCAATTGCCAGAACGCGCTCAGGCATGTCTCCTCCGTTGCCTATGGTACCTGATATCTGAATCCACGCAGATCCGCTGGGAAGCATCCAAACGTGGGTATATTTATCAGTACATCTCACCTCTTAACTTCCTCACTTCTACTGTACTATTTCGACCAAATGTTCAGGTGACGGGTGACGGAGGGTCGTGAAATGAACAATTTTGGGATAGGTGACGGTGACAAACTGAATTTGCCGCCCAAATAGGCCTCAAAAACGCCAAAATCTTTGATCCGGCAACTGCCGGATGTCCATTTATGGGAATTTGGCGTGATTGCCGAGAAATGAACACCTAGAAAAATGAACATCTTCGGTGACGGGTGACATGGTGTGATCATTTGGTCGAAATAGTACAGTAACCACAACCGAACAATGGTACGCCATCCTTCGAGTCCCAAAATGTCCAGCGCAAGACCCGGCGGCGGATGCTATACTTAACTTGAAGCTTGAAGGTTGGTAGCTGACAAACCCCGTTCGACTCGGGGTCGGGTCCTAATAGCTTCGTCGAATTAGATTATTTTGATGCCCCCCCTCTTTAGTCCTTTTTTCTATCGTTTTACTTACATACTCCTTCTTCAGTCTGGTGAGCTTAGTTGCTTCTCTGACCCTCTAACTCGCTTTGCTCGACGCAAGAGAAGCTAGAACTTGTAAGTACAGGCGTGCATCGAGCCAAGGTATTCGCAGTGCAGTGAGGCACAGAGCATTGAGTCAGCTCCTTTGAGCCTGCGGATATCGCGCAATCAGAATAACAAGGAGGGAAACGAAAGGAATCCAACATAAAGCCACATGGGCCCATACACAGGGAGGATAACAAAATAACTCATACCAAGACATACAAAAAATATGGAGAAAATATTTACAATACCTTTCATATGTCTGTGGCTCAAAAAATGCACAATGCATTCCAAAGAGGCAGAAGGTATTCAAAAGATATGCTTAGATCAGCATATCTTTTGAATACCTTCTGCCTGTTTGAGGCCACAAACATCCGAAAGTTATTGTGAATATTTTCTGCATATTCTACAAGTGCTATGGCGTGGAATATTGGGTTATCCTCCCTGTGATAATAGCACCGATTTCGGGAAAACGTCGTGCGGCTTTAAAGTGTCTTGCGAGGCGCGGATTTCGATTGATTATACAACCCAGAATACGGAGTTGAACGGATGTTTAATTTTAACTGCCTCCCAGGTTAAATTAAACATCGGAATGGCCGCAGGTAAGAGTTAAAAATATTGCCCAGTTTCGGGTGGTACATCATAGTGACCTTACCGATCACTTCTGTTTGAGACTGGACAAATTAGATGCATCCGAGCCGGTCTCCATTTCTGCCTACGATTGAACAGTGTGTAAAATCCCTACAAGATCCCAGACAAGATCAACGGGAAAAAGCATATAAAAAATGTCCATAGCAACCAGTGCTGATGACCCGACCCCGAGTCGAACGGGGGCATTCCGCTCATACGTGATATTCTGGTGTTCCTAACAGAGCGCGGATGTGGTCCTCACCGTCGGGTCTTCCTTCCCTGGGGAAGTTAGAGCGTGAATAAGACAAGAATGATGGGGGGAATTATGCGGAGAGGTGAGTTGAAATCACGGCTCATCAGGCAAAGAATTAGAACTGGAACACGTACAGTTTGACTATAAATAACAGACTGGAATCGAACGTTCGGCTAAAGGAGGTTTAAAAATTCAAGATCACTCCTTCTATGACCCGACCCCGAGTCGAACGGGGGTGTTCCGCTGATAGTTTTAGATCCATACTCTATGAATTGCGGATGCGGCCCTCCGCCATCGGGTCCTGCCTAAATGGAGTCGAGGTTTTGTACACGGTACGGTTACAAATTTTTCGCGCAACCAGCAGTGTGTAGAAGTGATTGTCGGTGCAATGAATTGGGGAGGCTGCCGAAGAATTTACTTCATAGAAAAGGGAAGCAAGCAACATGCTCATTGAAAACACTGATCGAGAAGTGCAATTAAATCCACAAACGCGGTTGGCTCACCTCGCAAATCATCTAACCGTAGGATGCGGCAAATATACGAAAAAAGGTGTCACGGCGACAAACACACAGAATGAGCCGACCTCGAGTCGAACGGGGGTGTTCCGCTGGTAACCATACATTTCGCCAGTTGACATATCACGGTTGAGGTCCTCACCACCGGGTCGTGTCAAGGGAGGCAGAACTTAGAAGCCCGAATTTGAAGAGGTGTTATCTGGAGAAGGGTGAGTATAGTCGGAAATGCGGAAAAGCCGTTCGAGGAAGGTGAGGTCACCCAGATTTCGTCCGAGACAAGGGAGGTGAATCACATCGAAAACCCGAGGCCTCGAGTGGTTTTCAAACAACAACAAAAAATAAGACAATTCCCCCATTGGAATGACCCGAGCCGGAGTCGAACGGGCTTCTGCGTGACCTGCGAGACATCAACACGAAGTGCAGAGGCGGCCGGCCACTATCGGGACGTTCTAAGGTATAGCTGAGATGAAGTGTGTAGGGAGCTTCTCACCGTGGCTAATGTAATATTGTTGTAAGGCACCAACGAGCCTGGTGTGAAATCAGGAGGAATTCAACAGACCAAAAGAAACGGGTCATCAAATATGCGGCTTGGAATGACGTGCCTTGGTGTCAGACCCGATAATTGGAGAGCAGATGACAAAGGAGAGAGCTACCAGCGGTTGAATGATACAGATGTTGTGCCATTAGATCCTGGAAAGTGGGGAGTCCTTATGCAGGTGGAAGCAGTGTTCGGCTCAAATTCAACTACATTCGAAGAAGAGAAGAGAAGCGGAGGAGCCAAAAAACAGAACGAAAAATGTCGTTGGGTATCACGCAAACGACAGGAAGGGATGGACATCTTGCAGCGCGTAGGCTCGAACCCAGCCACACACGCCAACACGGACTTTGATGACAGTCGATCAAAGGTGCTGGCGGAGCGGCTGGAGCATTCTAACAGGACCCCTGATTATTCCCGCTATGTATATAGTGGGTTTTTGGGGGGAACTCAAAAATGAACTCATTAGCGTTTCATACGATTCTTCATGGTAATACCTTGCCTTTTTTGGCAGGTTCGGCACGTCTCGGCACTGATAAAATCAGCGCATCATCCCTTGATTGATCCTCCTTTGTGTCGGCCCACCACACGATGGTCTGACCCTTCTCCGCTTGTACTGTTGGCTTTGAGGCTTATTATCATGCCAATTCCCTCTGAGGCTGAAATTTCAGCGAAGTGAACATCTCCCAGCTTTCCATTGCCCTCATCTCTACCAGTTCTGTGGCTAGGTTGAGTTGTGAAAGTTGATTCTGGCACCGTGTATCGTCTCAACATGCTCCTTGATACCCTTCTGTGCATAGTGAACAGAGAGTCACCAAAATATCCTGCCAAGTGTCCCATTTTCTTACAATGCTCTCGGGGCTGCGACAAACTTCCTACTCCGTCCCCATCACACCTCACTGTGGTTCAACAAAAGTATAATTGTGACGAAACTTGCACTCAACTTCGACAAGTCGAATTGAATACTGTTCACTGCAAGTTACCCCGCGCCGCGAGGAGCGACCGAAGGTCGTCGACGAACGGCGTGGGTTGATCTTACTGCTATTTTCGTGTTGCCAGTCTATGTTGAATTTATGTCTAGATTTTTTAATGAACCACATTTTTCTAGATCTCCTACTCAGAAATAACCATTTGAGTGCCCTCCTTACAAGTGAACCTATCCGAACCCACCTGGTACTGACAACACCCCCATGGCCAAAGGGGAAGAAGCTTGCTTTCCAACGGCACATTGGCCACAACTTTGGAAGACACCATATAGCGGGCTCTGCCGCGAAGCGGGCTTCATCGGTCATCCCTTTGGAGGCTAGGGCCCGACACTGGCCGATCGACCCATTTTTGTCCGGACAAATTTCGAGAGATTAGGTCGTTTTTTGTCCGGCACGGACCTAGCCGAGGCGTCCAAAAAGGGTAATTTTCTGTTCCCACGGCATAAAAATCTAAAAATTTCGTTCGTAACCTTGTTCAATCGATTTTTCGCGTCATATTCGTTGCAGGTATGACTTTTGACGCGGTTCCTAGAAGAAAAAGCCTTTTCAAACTACTTTGAAGCCAAAATTCTCTGTTGAAACCCGGTCAACTCGCAGATTTTTGTCCGGACAGGACCTAGCATTTCCGCCCCGGACCCCTCATTTTTGTCCGTCCAGAACCTGGGTTTCCGACCCAAAATCCCAAAATTTTGTCCGGCACGGGGGCTACCCTTTGCGGCTATAATCAGGGGTCCTATTCTAACCGGCAGCTAGTACGGTCGGGAGTTGCCGCGATTAGCCGAGGTTGGTTGTTTTGACTTAAAAAAAAAAAATTCGCTTCATTGAAAAATCAAACTCCCGGTATAAAAATTCTGAGTAGACAGATCTGTTCTAAATGTATTCAAATGTACATCCTATTGGTTTTCGGTGAGAGTACGGAAAGCGTGAAGATGGTACAATGAAAACAAGCTGAGTGTCTGCAGACAAGACCTTGGCCATGTGATACACTTCAAAATGATGCGAATGATTCGGAAATGATGCAGATAATTATAAAAACCACGGCCTCCACTTTTCGCCAGTAAAAGCATTCCAGTAGCGTCGTATCGCACTCATATGGGCTAGAATCAATAGAATAGATACTACTTGTGTTTTAGAAGGGATCTGTCTACTCAGAATCTTTATTCCTGGAGTTTGAATTTTCGAAATTTTTCTAAGTCAAAACAACTGACCTCGGCTAATCGCGGCAACTCCCGACCGTACTAGCTGCCGGTTAGATTGCTCCAGTCGCTTTTCGAGTGGCCTATTGATCGACTGTCATCAATCTTTCCGCCCGCCGAAAAGCGACTGGATCGAGTCTATGCAGCGCGGAAGGAATGATACTAGTGCACTGTAGGCACGGAATGCAGAGAAGAGGGGTATGTAATGAATAGAGTCTGTAAGTTGTTGGAGGCATCTAGAACTCGAAGAAACGGGGAGCCCGAGGAAGCAAAGAGAAAGGTATCCGCGATGCTGCATGACGGCAACATGATGGCGCCATCGGGAGGCTGGTTCCAGTGCAAGGTTCCAAGCCGGAGAAGGATCTGAGAGGGGAGTACTTGAGCAACGAGACAGAATCAAATTGAAAGAGTGCCGCGTGGAGCGGTGGGATGAGATGAGAGTTCGGGACAAGGACCGCTATTGCTTGAGTGCCGAGTGATCCGAGGAAACTGATTGATCGATCACAGCTATCGGATCCTTTTTTTTTTTTTTTTTTTTTTGGAGCATTTGGGATAATGAAACTCAGTCTGCAGAAGCATTCCAAGCTCATCCGCTTGTGGTGCTGGTTATTCGACCAGTCGTTGCCAGGGAGAATTGTCCAGGAGGAAATGCCGTTACGCACGTATTTTAACCAGTGTGGGACTCCGACCTTATGTAATTATCCTATCCCGTGTCTGTCAATATTGGGTCGCATACCCACTAAAACCCCCTCGTGCGTCCAGTCATCCGGCAACGAGGCCTCATTCATTAGTAGACCACTCCATGTATTCAACACTAACTGTTTTTTCAATGTGAGTGGTCCAAACTTAATTTTCTCTGTTAAGAGACAGTCACGTTGCAAAGCACTGTTGATTACTTTTAACCAGTGATTATGAATTTCAGTCTCTGAAAATATTATGTCTGGATTTTCAATAACTCGGGTACGACGGAGATTCCATATTAGATGCCAAGCGACTGAGACAAGAATAGCAAATAGTCTCCCCTTTTCTGGGAGGATACGTCTGTTCGCAGATTTAAGTCTTACTAGGTTGCAACCTAGAATTAAACCCCAGGACAATGTAGGCCATTCAGCATATTTCTTTGACCACAGATCCTGTGTCATTTTCCAGATTAACTGTTGCCCAGGTGCATTGCATTCCAACGCAATGTTCTCTAAAGTTTCGGGAACATCACAAATATGGCATCGTCCACGCATCTCAAATGTGTCAATATGGGTCCAAAAGTCGCCCACTCTGAAAGTGTTGTGTATGCACTTCCAAAAGAATTCTCGCGTTCGGCGCTGTAATGTCACAGACCGAGTTGATTTCCAAATCATTTCGTCGGAAGGTGTGTACCCGGAGATTTCTTGGACTGATGACCTGATGCGGTCGAGATTGATAAATGTCGAACGTCGATGGTGTTTTGGCTGGAGGCTTCGAATAATTTTTGTGAACAATCTCTGTGAGCCTCGGGATAAAAGGATTCCCGGGCATTCAAACATGAGGTCAATTTCCGTGTCAACTTCTATGGTGCTGTAGTACTCGGTGGGCATGGTTTTGGCCTGGTTGATAGAAACCCTTTGGAACTGAGTATGCGCTGACCTTTCATTCAATTGCGCAAACACAGCTCTGAGTAAATGGAACTTTGGGTCTAGAATGGCATTCTCAAACACGTCTCTTTCTTTTATGACTGCTCGCAACAGGAAATCTGATGATGAGCAGATAAGTAGTGGTACATTTCTCTCGGTATTCTGCAACACGATTAGCAGTGCTCCAAGTAAAGCTGATGGAAATGTCAAAGGTATTTCCGGTCTGTCGAAAGTGAGTGACATAGTCTCGCTTTCCTGTGTCGCCTGTGTCTCTCTCTTGATCTTGACCAGAATGAGTGGGTTAAATTCGTATGGGCGAACCACCTTTGCATGGAGAAATACTGTTGTCTGGCTTGGTTCCGGACCATGTATCTTCAATCTTCTTGCAGGGATCTCATTTAGAGAGTCTTCAGTTCCAAAAATCCGAAAACCTCTCTCAATGTTTGAGAGAGTGAAGTCTGG